GAAAGGTCTCTCCAAAAGGGTTCAGCTTAAGGAAAGCTTTACACATGGAAAAATGGAATTATGTACGCAGGTCATTACTTCAAGATACTTCCATCAGCTTGTTCCAGAAAATGCCGCGTTTCGCTTTCTCTTTGGACTCCGGTCATTCCACGGAGCGGGCGAGTGAGCTCAGCAACGCGATTGTCGCCTAGAGAGTTGGTGCCTCTTTACGAAGTTGTAAAAGTTAATTACGGAAGCGAGCCCTCTCTCTTCCGAAGTGAGTGTCTCTCGGGTCGGTAGTGTCGACTAGCTCGGGGTTCGACCCGACCTCCGCCGTAAAGAGCCAGTGCAGGGCGTCTCAGAAAACCAAAGCGCAATTTCACCTGGTCTGAAATTGATTTTTAAGCAAACCAACCATCCCTTGGAAAGAATGAAACAGCTCTAATGGGAGGATGGGTTCCATGCCTCGTTCCAATGCATTGACCGGGCACAATTTTTTCAAACATTTTTTCCCGCATCAATGGAAAAATCTGGATTTTCCCCTCCCTGCGGACTCCCAGCAAGCCAGAGAGGTGAAAGGCAACATCTCCAATAAAACCTTTCAAGCAGTTTGTTTATGAATGCCTACTTTGCTTATTACTGAGCTCCACCAAATTACGGATCAAACCTCGCTTTTGAATTGTTAAAATAATACGCTTTGTAGCATCATTTTGCTTTAATGAATTCAATTACTTCCGTTCCTGTCATTCACATCAATTTTGACTCTGCTATCTTTCATGCTCGGGAAGTTCTTGATCAAGTTGAAGAAGTTGACCTGGCTCACGTGCTTGAGCAACCCAAACTGGTGAAAAATCCGAAGAAGTTCACTGAAGAACGGACCGAAGTTCCTCCAGAAAAAAAGAGTATGCTCGGGAAGTTCTTGATCAAGTTGAAGAAGTTGACCTGGCTCACGTGCTTGAGCAACCCAAACTGGTGAAAAATCCGAAGAAGTTCACTGAAGAACGGACCGAAGTTCCTCCAGAAAAAAAGAGACGGCGAGCAGAGAGGAAACAGCCGACTGCACTGCAGGATGCCATATTAGGAACTCCAGAGACATCTGGCGTCCCCTGTCCGAGTCAGTGCGTGCTGTCATCCGCTATAAAAGTCGGAGGGCAGTCGCCCCACGCCTCCAGTCCATCTGCAGCACTCTCGAGGCGTTGTGGGTTCCAGGTGGCTTGATCATGCGGAGTGGGAACAGCATTCAATGACTGTAACTAAATCGCCTACATTATCATCTTCCCATTTTCTTTCACCATAGTTCAACTCTCTCGCGTCTGGAGCGTTTCAGCGTGGTTATTGGAAATGAAATTGAACAAATTCATTATTCTGGTGCATTATTTCCCACGTGTATACGTTGTAGTGTTGTGTTAATGGGCGCCAAGTGAGACGAGACGGTGAACGGGTAGAAAAATTCGTGCAAAGGAGACTCCGGATTCTATTTTTGCTTAATCTTCAAAAGAGAAAAAGCGAGAAACACTTTCATTGGAAAAATGAAACTTTGAGTCTTGTTCCCGGTGGAAATTTGATTAAATGAAAAAAGCGCCCTCTACTTCAGAAAATATCCTTCATGGTATTAGCTTCATATTTCACATCGGCACTGCTGAAAAGAACAGTGAGATGGACTCAATTCGTTCTCCTAAATAGAGCTATGCGTCCAAATTGTAATGCGGGATCGTTCATAAAAATGATGAAGAGGCGCCAAATTGTTAATTTTCCGAAAACTTTATAAAGTGCTTTAAAGAGACGGCGAGCAGAGAGGAAACAGCCGACTGCACTGCAGGATGCCATATTAGGAACTCCAGAGACATCTGGCGTCCCCTGTCCGAGTCAGTGCGTGCTGTCATCCGCTATAAAAGTCGGAGGGTAGTCGCCCCGCGCCTCCAGTCCATCTGCAGCACTCTCGAGGCGTTGTGGGCTCCAGGTGGCTTGGTCATGCGGAGTGGGAACAGCATTCAATGATTGTAACTAAATCGCCTACATTATCACCTTCCCATTTTCTTTCAGCATGGTTCAACTCTCTCGCGTCTGGAGCGTTTTAGCGTGGTTATTAGAAATGAAATTGAACAAATTCATTATTCTGGTGCATTATTTCCCGCGTGTATACGTTGTAGTGTTGTGTTAATGGGCGCCAAGTGAGACGAGACGGTGAACGGGTAGAAAAATTCGTGCAAATGAGACTCCGGATTCTATTTTTGCTTAATCTTCAAAAGAGAAAAAGCGAGAAACACTTTCATTGGAAAAAATGAAACTTTGAGTCTTGTTCCCGGTGGAAATTTGATTAAATGAAAAAAGCGCCCTCTACTTCAGAAAATATCCTTCATGGTATTAGCTTCATATTTCACATCGGCACTGCTAAAAAGTACAGTGAGATGGACTCAATTCGTTCTCCTAAATAGAGCTATGCGTCCAAATTGTAATGCGGGATCGTTCATAAAAATGATGAAGAGGCGCCAAATTGTTAATTTTCCGAAAACTTTATGAAGTGTTTTACAGTGAGATGGACTCAATTCGTTCTCCTAAATAGAGCTATGCGTCCAAATTGTAATGCGGGATCGTTCATAAAAATGATGAAGAGGCGCCAAATTGTTAATTTTCCGAAAACTTTATAAAGTGCTTAATAGAAATAATGGAAGTCTATATTGTCGTTCGCGACAGGCGGCAGCCTGGCATTGCCTGGTTTTGATGCATTTATTTATCTGGCCTGCGATGATCTCCATTGGCGGTTCTCTAGACAGCTCTTTTAAAATTTCTCATTCAAACGGCCCAATCTGCCTTTCCATTATTTTGAGTACGATATCCTGTTCGAGGACAGAGATATCCCAGTACAATTAAGTGCAAGAAGGCCTGTCCCTCCCTCTAAACACGTAGAACTACGGTGATGGCGAGAAAGCCCGACTCCTGCCGTTTTTTGTCGTCTTCCTCAGTGAAAACTAACTCTGTATATGTTTACAATTTGACTCGAATTTCCAAGTTTTTTTGGAAACCTTCTTTGTTGCCGAAATGTGTATCTATTAAAAAAAATGCTTTTCATACTGGCAAAAATTTTCACGACCATGCACGCCAGTCGAAAGTCGCCCACAAGGAAAAAAACTGGATCAGGTAACACTCGAAAAGAGAATTAATCGGCGCTAAATCGCTGTCTATTCCCCTTCTTCAACCTTTTCCCGTTACGAAATTTAACCATCTCGCATTCCACTCTGAGAGCATAGGGAGGGAAAAAATGAAGTAGTTCGGTTCAAACCAAACATTAAACAAGGAAAATAATTCATTTTGGAAATTAATGAGAAATTTATCACTAAATTTGAAATGTTTGCTACGTTAGTAGAATAAATCACGGCATAAAAAATAGCATATACGATGTATACATTCGAAAATCGAAATCAAGAACAAAAAATATTTTTTGCAAACTGATTTATGAAGGGAATCGGAATTTGGAATCTACGACACTTCCTTGTACACAACATTGTCAGTTAAAACACCATAATCGATCGGGCCTTCTGACCATCTGACCGTTTTCCTGCATTTTACGAAGATGCTTTGTCGTTTAGCCGGAAATATATGATACGTTAAGTATGGCATTGTCCCATAAGAAACAGTCTTATAGGTACCTATAGGAATCCAATAGGTTTTTGAAACATGAAAAAGCTTTAAGATTCCTATGATGATATATTCCTATAAGGATCATTTAGGAATCCTATTTTTAAAAAAACCTATAGGAAATTTTAAGGATATTATTGGTTTCCTAAAAGCTTCCTTAAGATCCCATAGTATAACTTTAAGATCCTGTAAGATACCTGCAGGATCCTATATGATGCCTATGAGATTCTATAGTTTCCTATTGGTATCCTACCGAATTCTATGGGAAACTTACAGGTTTCCTATAAGTTTTTCATGTAAAAAACCTATAAGATTCCAATATGAATTTTTCGCAAGGGGTGGGATGTCAAAACGGATTTTAGTCTTTTATTTCATTGAATAATTCTCCACGCTGCCAATCTGATGCGACTTGGAGATTACTTGCTTTATTAAGCAACTCTACCTTGGGTATTAAATGGACGTTGGACGATATTTTGACTTATTGTTTGCAGTAGCTCTAGTACCAATAAAATTCGCTGAAACTGGTTTTGAAATTTGCAGCCATATCTGATATCCGATATTCATATTAATCACAAGTGAAAAATGTGAGACTTCGAATGACAAGTTGGTTCTTGCTCATTGAGAAACAGGTATTTATTCATTCTGGGGTCAACTGCTGACACTTGACTATGCTAAACATGTTACCATTTGCTAGAAACACATGATCCATCTTAGGAAAATTGTATTAGATCGACAAAAATGCAGCCCCCTTTTTTTAATTGTTTCACTTGATGGGAAATGCGAAATGTGATATCCCTGATTAGCCCCACAGTCTTTTCTTTAACCTTTCATGGGGCAGTAACAAATTTATTGCTTCAAACTTTTTCTTCACAAGGCAGTTTATTATTTTCTGCAACCTCCCCCCAGGAAGTGGGGTACTCCTGACATCTGTCAGGGACAGCTCCAAGTGCTAGTGGGAGGCACTTGCTGCCCGGGTTAATTGTGATGAGTTTGTTTTGTCGAATGTAAGTAATGAACCGTGTCGACGAATTTATTTTAAAGCAAACTTAGGATTCGTTTGTGTCCAAAGTATTAATTCTAGCTCCATCGACGATAACTTTCTTTGATGACGTTGCTAATAGGTGTTGGCTAGGTCTTGCTTCTCATTCCGGAGCTGGACCATCCTTATCTGCAGTGATGAGGAGTCTGGCTCCTTATCTTTTATTCGAGGGCTCCCTTGTTTGACATCTCTGGGAAGCGAATGTGACCGATGGGTTTATGACGCACTTGAGCTGGACCTTCTTTATCGATGGAGCTGGAAAGGTTGAAATCCCAGGGTGGAATAATCCTATACAAGACAGATAAGGTTTCTAGATATGCGCCATATCACGCCATCACTGTCTCTCCCTCCCGACCATATCACTAAGTCACTCTAGTCTCACTCGAGTGACTCAGTGACAAGTCTGACATCACTGTCGGATCGGGAGGTAGGCTCACTTCCGGAGGAAAACCAACCAGATGTGATCAAAATCGTTTTCCACCGGGTGAAGAGCTTCTCAACAAAGGTAACTGCAACCAAGCCAAGGTAGGCTTTTAATTTTGCTTAGATTTGAATGCTTTATATTTGCGAAATGCGCATTAACGAGAGGATGGAGTTAGTTGTCATCAGGATACAGTGTTGCCTATTGAGACCCAATTAAGCCAGGGTAAGGGGAATACCTAGAACCCTTCCAACACTCCCCCATAAACCTCAACTATTCCGAAGTAGCGTATTAACCCCCGTAATCGCAGATCAAACCAGGGACACTTAATTTGGACCGAAGTTGGGTTCTCCTAAGATGCTTTTCTTGCCATCGGTTTGCAATCGTGTCGCTTATTTCATTGGCAACTTTTCGGCTGACAAATTCAGAGAAAATATTTTATCCTTCAAAGTGAAGCGGACTTGGTCCATCCATCTACTTACTATACGGTATTGAGAAGAATTGGAATTCCGTTACATAGAGTACAATGCATAACACATACGTTTTTGACCCAAATATATACTAAATGCTGGGTTAAGGTGAATTAAATTTTAGTCCAGCAATATGTTGATTTGAAAAAATTGTCCTTTGCTCGTCGATTTTAGTCAGCTGCAGTTATTGCTGTATAGCTAACAAGCGGTATAGCCACAACTTCATCAGCCAGTGGTAGTTCAAACTGTAATATTTATCGTCACACATTGCTATTCTGTTGTTTCAGTAATGCACTAGTCATGCCAAATTCGCAAGGACTTTCTAAAAAAAACACTCGCAAACACCACTGATCTAACATATACCTATTGGATCCTCAGATTCCATGTATGTCATAGAGTAATAGGACATGCCTACACCTGTTTGGACATGGGTGCATTCGTGATTCCAGTCCCAGCCATCGTTTTGTGAACCAATTGTGTTTGGTGGGAGCATTGAATTCCTGGGAAGAGTAGCAACTTCCAATTGCTGCTATTGAAATTGACTCCAGGGGTCTGTTTCATGGAATTTACAAGTTCTACAAGTTATAAGTTACAAGTAATTGCAAGGGTCGTGTCTCCTTGTTTAACTCTTCCAGCTGGTCCCGCTGACCTTTCGTACAACTACGACACGACCCTTGTAATTACTAGTAACTTGTAACTTGAAGAGCTTTTTTATAGATTCCATGAAATGGGCCCCAGCCTTCAATACACAATGGAACAAAGACGCGTTTTCCTGGTCAGCATAAAAATCTAATTATCTGGAACAACTCTCTTACACTACCCACTATTCACATAACTAATTTAAGAGAACTGCAGTTACTTACAAAAAAGGTGTCGTTTTCGAGATGGAGCTGTGAAAGTTCAACGAAATGCTGAATCTTCCTTCAAGCCTGAATTTGTTCAATCTAAATGAAACCACCTCGTGGGAAGAAAATCGAAGTATGCACATTTTCTGGTGTGAAACCCAAATAATTATTTAGAAAATTTTATGAAAGGGTTGAACAGGAATCTGTTCTGATAAATATTCAGAGCAGTTAAACCTGAATTCCCAAATTTAAACAGAAAAGTATAATTTTGGTCAGGAAAATGGGACTTGAATAGCTTGTGCACCTTCTAAATAAATAAATTCCACTGCCTTGTCAGTTCTTCATGTAAATCCAAGTATTCGTTAGGCATGCGCTAAGACGTCCATCATCTGGACCCTCTTGCGGACTTGCGCACCCATAACTCATAATGGAATTCAAGCGCTGCTTCACTTCGATTTGGGTCTGCACTCTATTGAACGTCGTTCATTCAATTGACCTTCGCCTGTCATTGAACTAAAATCCAATTTAATTCACGAATTGATACTTCAGCGTTTATCAACAGTGACACTTTAGTGCCAATCCGTTCTCTCTTGGAATGTGACATGTATGGGATACACACGCATAGGTTTTTTGCCAGTGTACCATCCGTTTCTTTATTGTTTCCCTATCGCCTCTGTTGGTGAGTCAGTCTTTGTTCATGGAGCGTCCATAATACGAAATTCCATCGTCTGTATCTGAAGCGGTCGGAGATTAGATAAAGACATTTTCCCTCAGGAAGTCAAGTGCCACAGAGTCCATTTTTTTCATAGCTGAACGTGAAAAGAGAGTGGGCAAATAAGGCATGGGCCATAAGGAAAAATCAAGCGAAGCGATTTAATTACTTATTCACAAGGGAGGGTAAGAATCCGTTGGTGAGGATTGGATTTGAATGATGTAACTCGCCCAGCCCAGCCCAATATTGCTTTTATAATTTTCTGAATGCCAAATGTAAAAACGTGAGCGCTATTGGTTACAAATCCTGGTCAAAAATCGTTGATTAATAGCATCTCACCTCTTGTATTTTCTCTGGTTGCAAACCCAATGGTTGTTGAATATGATAAACTGTTAATAAAAAGGAGTCCATTAAGTGGGTCTCAAAACCACATAATCAAAATGTTATCAAGCAGATCGCTTGTTGCCACATATGTGGTGGCCTTACAAAATGTTCATCTGGATCCTCCTGTCCGAACGACCAGGTGATATCCCTGATTAGCCCCGCAGTCTATTTTTTTTACCTTTCATAAGGCAGTAACAAATTTATTGCATCAAACTTTTTGAAGCAATACATTTGTTGCTGAAAATTCTTCAATGTAGGGATGAGGTCTAACTTGTGAATGTCATTGAAAAGTTGTGCTGGAAATTTTTTCTCATCGTAATACCCAACGCGTCTCGCCTTCAGTGGAAATACCCGCAGACCAGTATTGCCTCCTCGCTCTCACCTGGAGCCAGCATAATTGACAGGGAAGACGTATTTGCGTTTTAAAAACCGGGAACGAAGCTGAATGCTTGTCTGTGTGGACCCAGTTTCCTCTCTCTTCTTGATTTCGAAGACTCTTCAGCTACTTGTATGATCATTAGAGGTACAAATCTGCAATTGCTTTTTTATCGCCTGAGGTAAATAATTTCATAGTTTGCAAAATCGTGGTTGCATCGTCACTTGTAAAATTTATTATTAAAATGACGACTGGAACATATATGTACTTTTCAGATTGGAATTTGATGCTGAAAATACTTTTGCGTTGCATGTATATCAGATGGCTAGGCGTAGCACTAAGAAGATTTGACTAATTAGGCTAATCATATTAGGTCTAGAAGCCTAGCAACATTGATGAAAATTTTGCATGCTTGCAGGAGAAAGCGTTCAGAGCGCTTTGCAAATTCTTCAAGAAGAAAACGTTCCGGTACTGCCGTTCTCCCTTTTCCTACGCATTCCTTGAGGAGATGATGACTTCCCCATCCCCTTGGAATGGTTGTGAAGAAGACCCCAGACAAAGTTGGCGAAAAAAATTTTTACTGGTGAGTTCTTGTATTATGTTAACATGTGAATAGTGGCTATGTCCCTCTGAGTTTTTTTTTTCGGAGGGGGGAAGTTTAATTTCAACAATCAATAAAATATAAATTCAGGATCATCATTCAGAGTAAACGCCCGCCAGTCCCTACCTCTCTCTGCTCTCCCCATTTCTGGATTTACTTTGGGCATCAGAGAATAAAGAAATTTCACAAGTAGGCACATGGATCGCATCTTCTCTCACAGGGGACCAAGTTTCACTATAAGTTATCTTGTTCCATTTTCCACTAATTCACATCGTCTTCCTGTCTATGTAATTCAAGCACTCCAATCCCACATTCCAAAAGCACAAATTAATTTATGGAACTTCCACTTTTACTAGTATATACCCACACCGAAATGACACGGCATGCCTCTCATGAGGTTCCACTCGCTAGCTCTGCTCGATCTGTTTTTGGTATGGGACGTTACGTCAAGGGATGACGTTAGGACGTGTGACTATTCAGGTGTCTATAAGGTGGCAGCACTATCGCTATCCCTATATATGAGGATATAGATGAGGCGAATCAGTACCACTACTGAATCCAAAGTCAGATATAGGACCATCTACTAACGGAAGAGCTGGTTTCGAATCGAATTAGCTAGTGCCCTCTTGTCTCTGTTGCTCCTCGTACATCATTTTAATCCACTACAACAGGTTCCTCATTACATTGCCCAGAATTAAAAATCTTCATGACAAGATACAGATGTTCCATCTTTTTTCCCTTTTAAAGAAAATGCTGGATTTATGCTGGATAGCAAGACGAAAAGAGGAACTCGTAAGAGATCGATATGAGTCAGATGGTCATATGAGTCACATAACGTGGCGGCCATCACATAACACTGTTATGTGATGGCCGCCATGGAAGTCCTGCGCCTGCGCCCGTCTGCATTACTTGTGCCGTATGCATAGTGCCACAACACGAGAAGCTCTAATTTCCAGATGTTTCCTCTCTCCAAGTATTAGTTCAATAACTGCTGGAAGTGATTAGGAAGCTAAACTTCCAGACACTGAAAACTAGAGCGTTCCCCTCAAAGGTATGCATTATTACAAGTTATTGATTGTATAAAGCCCGAAAAACTAATTCTCAATCCATCCAGAGTTTCTAACTTGGGTTGCAAGAGAACAGTTAAATTGCAAAGAGTTCTTTGGTGGGGGGGGGGGGAGAAAATGAAATGAAAGACTCAACCTGCTATTGAGAGTTTGAACATGAAAGGCCCACTGAATTTGTTAGAAAAGCGCCTGCAGGTGGAACAGAAAATATTGCATCATTGGTATGCAAAGCCTGATCTATGAATAGATCTAGAGAATGACTTGAACGTCTGCCTCGTGAACTCCAGAATTTTAAATAAATGTTGATAGATATTCCTGGAAATAGCAAGAAAACGAAATTTTCCTTTAATTAAGTTAATCGCTTCCTGTCTTATGCAAAATAATGTTCAAGGTGTCTCAGGGGGATCTAACTTAGATTATTGTATCAGATATTAAAAATGAATTGCTGAATGTCATTGTATAATGAAACTGAACTTGATTTAGTATTTTTGTAACAGACTCTTCATGGCGAAGTGTCTAGCGAAAGTAAGTCATATGTAGTTAGGCAGTGACGATTTCTTAAGCCCTCTCTCGCTCAATCACGTTATCCTGGCCATATTCCACAGGCAGGAGTATATGTGCACTGCATTGAACTGGGCAACATTAAAAAGTTCGCTTGCAAATTTTTAGATTCGGTTTTTCTTGCCATGTTGATCGATTTTCCACGATTGGATGCTTCGGATTATGTGGAACGGGATTTAAAATGTATGGAGCATCATTAATATACACACTTCCTATTTGCATATATCTTACATACACTTTACACATAAATATTGGAAAAGTTCGCCCATACTGCTTATCTTCACTGTCCTTGATCTGCTTTCCAGGTAAATGAAACCTTTTGCTTTGCATCTGCGTCGCCTTCAAAACATCATTAAGAGGGACGCACCGATCGAAGAGGATGTCTTCATCGAAAAGATGGCAGAGAAAATGGATCTTTCATTGAATCAGGAAGAGGAGCTAAAAGCCAAAGGAACTTCCGAGGAAAAGATTGATGGAATTTTCTTTATTCTCCGCAAGAAACATCCGAAGAAGACCTACGATAATGTGCTGGATGCTTTGCAAGAAATGCAGAGGGGTGATATTATCTCTAAACACCTGCAGGCATCCAGTAAGCTGAAACTTCTATTCCATTTTCTGATATACAGCAGAGCTGTGGATTTGATATTTAATTTTCTGCAAATTCCTGAATAGGTGTCGATTTTGTGCAAGCCGTAACGCATCCCGTACAGTCATAAAAGGGGGAATTTATTTCACCCATTTGAAGAGCATATGCCACAACTGAACTGAAAATCCCCTTGATATTTTTTCTCCATTTGCTTTTCATATCCGCTACAACAAAAATCCTTTGCTTCTCTTCGGGAGTGCGCTGAAGAAGCTTAAGCTGCAGACATTTCAACAGTGCCATGTAGCAAGCTCATCGCTAAGGAGTGGAAGCCCAATCAGTCACTTCATCAGGATTATTGATGAGCCATGGCTTTCAAGATCAAGGGGAGAGATTTCTTTTGGAATCAGTGCTTCATTAAACCTAATTTTACTATTTCCCTCAAAATTGACTACCATTATAAAGATGTCTATGGTTCCCTGTCAATGCCTACAGTCCTAAGTCTGGTTCAACAGTAGACTGAACTGTGTTCATCTATAGATCCAGAGACATTATGAGCGTTTAATTGCTATGCATTGAACAATTAATTAGATTCATGAATGTTTTCATGTCTGTTAGTAGGGGTCACAGGAGGAAGGTGCGACAATGGACTCTTTCTTGCCTTTAACTTGCAGTTGGATGCAAATCGACTGGCGGACCTGCCACAGTACCCCTCACATCTGAATGAGGATTATTTGTGATCCTGTGTCTTGGCCGGAAGGAGTAATTGAAATTAGAATCTTCTTCGCCTTAACGAAATTTTTTCCATGTTGAATTGATTAGACCTAAAATTAAAACAAAATATGATTTGCATGATTCGCATATTTATTTCGATGGTTTTGGTGCAGATCCTCCTATGCAGATATTTATTTCAAGCATACTTCTTGTTAAAGAATTTGTAAATGATACATTTCAGGTATTTTTCTTTATTGGTATACTGGTTTTCATTAGATGGTTGTTAGTTCAATGGGTGCCTCTAGGACAGGGATTCTTAACCTGGTGTCCGTGGGGTAGGTCCAGGGAGTCCGTGGAAAATTATACACTGTATATGTAATTAAAGGTAGCTCCCGAAAAAAACATCATTTATAATCATAAATCCAGATGTTCCAAAGTTTCTGATAACCAGGGGAGGGGGTCCATGGGTTATTTATAAGGATCTGGGGGGGTCTGTAGGTGCAAAAATTTTAATAACCCCTTCTCTAGGACATGAACAAATAGAAGCCCCAATATGGTGACTTTGGGTATTGCGTGATAGTTATTCATGAGGTAAACTTGGGCCTATCCTTTCTGAAACCTGAAATCAAAGTCACCCATTACTATTGGATAACTGTCATTTGAAGTTTCTTTTTTTCACCAAAGACACCATGAAAAAGTGATTTATTAGCACAGCTTCTAGTCCTACTTAGGTATGTTGCATGGCATTTTATCGGTGCTTAAGATTTTTAATGGGATTTGTGACACTTTATCGTTAGTCCAAACCAATAATTCCAGCAATATTCGAACTTCATTTGCATGTTTCATCAAAGTTTTACCCTGCCTCTGTTGTAAATAATCGCAGTGGATGCCATATTTCATGGCTGCGATATTACACGGTGTAACTGCGCAGGAAAACAAACGAATTGGGACATTAAAAAAACTAACCTAACAAAACCTAATTTAACTTAGCCCCTTGTGTCCTCCCCCCACCATAGAACTCCTGTTTCGTTGCGGTAGCAGTACTATGAAAACAATCGTGCTATAAGGCGTCCCCTGCCGGGAGGAAGTATAGTAAAATTTTGCGGTAAACTAGCAATAAAATTCGAAAAGGTCATAATTATGAATTTCCTCAGGAAACGAAGTGTCAAAAACCGTTTTAAACCCCTCAAAGAACAAAAAATTGCCCGCGATTTGCCACAGCAGGGTGCGAATCCATATATTACACTAATGTTTAAAAAATTAAGACATCTTATTTTTTTATGAGTAGGAATTGATTGAAGAAAATTCCTTCACACAGCGATTAGTGTGAAACTCGTGATAAATTCATGAAATGCATTTCACGCTTTTGAATGCCTTCGAGTTAGCCTGATAATAGGCTATGTTTGTGGTTATTACAAAGAAGCAGTTCATCCAATATTAATCAGCGTCAAATGCAGCTAAAAATGAAAATCAAGAAGAGGCAAATCGCTCAGAATCATTTAATAAATTGAAAATAAGCAATATCTTCAACGTCTCTATGATCCACGGCTCCTCCATGTATCGATCGGTTCATGATAGTATTGATATATTGGCATGTGAAGTAAAAGTGTGACTTTAACAAGAACTTCCTATACGTAGGAGGGGAATCAGTACGGCACACCCGGCAGCGATGCACCTGTACTGGAGCCCAGGCTAAAAGAACAGAGATGCCTCCCATCTCATCTTTCACTCGGAACTCCAACCGTATCAAAGGGGTTGGCACAACGGAAATGCAGGAATTCTTTTCACTGAGACTGGATCCCCGTAGCAACCCTCGGAATTGGGGACTGGACGAGGTCGAGCAGTGCCTTAAGAACAATAACTTGGCCATGTATTGCTGCAAATTTCGTGAGGAGGAAATCCACGGCACAGAACTCTTGGACTTGAAAAGAAAGGACTTCAAGGTGGTTTGCTATTTTATGGTAACGAGCAACCTTCTTGATGGAGTACAAAATGTTTTTTTTTTTTCTTTTAGATATTGGGGATCGAACATTTGGGGCCTATCAAGCGTCTACAGAAAGCTATAAAGGCACTAAAGCGTTCTGAGAAGCATTTCATCAACTTGATCCCGACAAATGCAACGAACAACCATATCGCCTAATGTTTTCATCCTGTTTTTCTCTATCCATTGCAAAACTTCCCTTCCTCTCACACTATGTATTCTGTGATTTTTTAATTTCATATATACCCACTCAAAAAAGAAACGCAGAGTTGAATCACTAGTATATTGTACGTACAGTTTAATCATGTTACGACATGTAGCCATGAATTCCATCAGGGCGGAAAGAAATTAAGTGTTTGAGACCATTTTACTCTTGAATGTCCATCACCTGTAACCGCTTGCGCATGAATTGAAGTTTTACTTAAAACCCTAGTAAAGAGCATGTGGATTTCATTCGTTCGCAATGAAACTCGGTGCAATGTCGCGTAATGCCGTTTTCAATAAAAAGGGGTGGGTTCTCGTCAATGGGAAGGCAGTCGTTGTAGTGTAAACATCCATCAAGGATGCAGAGACTCTCAGTAGCGGATTGAGATAATGGTATTCGGAGTTTGGAAGCTGGAGTCCCGGTCTTCCGTTGCAAGACATTTTAACGGCCTTCAGCAACAATGTTCAACGCCTAATTGTCCAGGCAAGGGCAGATCAAGAAACACCATCCCTGCTGGAATATGCATAACGATGGTTAGGCTCAGGCTGACGCGATGGGTTTCGGTTCAGGTTCCCTCTATATTTTTACCCAGTAAAGGTTGGGTTACCGGAATTCGGCTCATGAAGGCGGTGCGGGCTTCGATAAAGACACGGATGAGGACATGCTTTTCTGTGACTTCTTTAAATTTGCATCTAGGATGAATCCATGGATAACAATTTGAAACAAAAACAATGATTTCACCATGAAAGTTTCATTGTTGTTTCCGTTCTGTGGCCTTAGTAAATAGGCACTTAATATATATAATATATATGTAACCATGTGAAAAAGCACGGTTTATTTGTGGGTGTTTCATTCCTATTTATGTTCTTTGACCTTTGTAAGAAAGAATGAAGATCAGAGGGGAAAAGAGAAAGCATATGTTTGTAATTTGTGGATGTTTCGCTGTGGTCACTGATCTGTGAACTTTGTAAATACGCATAAAATGAACACATGGGAAAGCATGTGGAAAATCATTAGTTTATTATTTGTAGATATTTCATTGATGTTTCTGTTCTGTGACCTATCGAAGAAGGCATATATTATGAATACAAACTTTTTAAAACAATATTTGGAAGTGTACCCCATTTTGCCCCCCCCCCCCTTCCCCTATAAATATTAATATAAATATGAAATTTATCCAAATTGAGACTGAATGCTCCTTCTCCCCGACTGCAAAGCACTGCACGTTGGTATCGTATCATTAATTGCACAATGATGCCAATTAAAATTAGGAATATTTGCGATCTCTAGCGTCTTCACCTCTTCATAATAGTTAAATACGTGTGATAAACCCTTGGGTTGACCCTCAGCAGTGAATCGCCGGAATTGAAAAGCAGTGACCATTATCGTTGGATTGGTATGCTGAACAACCATTTTGATTCCTTTTGATATCTGAATTACATAATTGTTTTGATGTCTGAATTACAACCACTTCTGAACCTTTCCCCTCAGAAATTGTGAAACAAGTTCAAGGGCATGGGGAGAGATTTAACCTTTATTGCCTGGATTTATGCTGCAGAAGCCAGCTTGAAAATAGTATATACTGGCTTCTAGAGAAGTTTGACAATATTGATCCCTGCCCTCCCCATTTGTCAATATTTTAATGATATAATGTACAGTAATATATGTGACATCCACAACTCACAGCTATTCATGAGACTGAGGATTTGAGCAGAGGAGGGAGAAGATGACCAATGGAATGTGAGCAATATAGAGCCCCACGGACGGTTAATCTGTTGATTAACAGCTCATTTCAAATATGTCGATCGCTGTCTACTTCAGAGATGCAGATACTGTTCCAATATTACAGTTTTATCCTGAAAAACATGTCTCTATGTTAGTCTGAACTTCTCGTGCGGAGAGTCTTCTCGTCAGGTGATGCCTCCGGGAGAGAGATTCCCCTTCTGCTCACAACATACTCTACTGTATACAATGTCACGCGTTCATTGTAAATGTTAATAAAACTGCCATGGATGTTGACAACCATACCTTTTATTTTTTCCGGAGTGAGATAGGGAAGGGGTTGTCAGCTAGCTGATACTGAATGGATTCTAACTAGGCGACTTGCCAAACTAACTGCTATGAGGTCGAAAACTTTGATTATAGTTGTGTAGGGAGGCAAAACGCGTTAAATGAACAAGGTGACTTAATTCTACGCTGGCCCATCTATCAGTCCCATTTCCATCTCCTTTCCTGTTATTCTCTGGGATGTCTCAGACGAATCAAGGACAAAAGAAGCCCCGCTTCAGCGTAGAAGTGGATGGTGGACGAAAGTAGGTGATGAAAAGTGGTGATTTTGTTGCTTCCAGGGCACCGTTTCGTCAAGAAATTAAATTTATTTCTCTCTCGGGTGTCCTCAGCGTGATGGCTCTGGTCCCATCCTCCAGTGTTGCCGGATATCGCCAAGGATGTATGCCAGATTCCTGACTTTTTCGGCATCGGTTCCGGTGTCTGGATCTTCTGCTCTTTAATGCAAGAGAAAATTTTGTGCCGAGTATACCAAAATGAGCTAAGATTGAAACGGCCGCCAGAAGGGCGATTTTGTGGGATGCGAATTTGTCTCTTTCGGGCATCCGTCCAATGCCGTTCGTGTCGGATTCCTACCCCGAGGCATTTTCTTCTAAGAACTCGTCGAGACGGCTCGACGAACTCCACATGGACCGAACGTTCCTCACCCGCTTTGAAATGGTTCATGCAACTCTAAACACTCCTTTGATTGGTCTAACGTTACATGTGCTCTCTTAAAAGGGCCATGAGAGACTTAATAGACCAGCGCGTGGCGTAACCTTACATATCCTCGACGAGGTTTCGAAGACCGGGAATTAATCTTTAAAGGGTAGGTGATATAAATTCCGACCCCCTTAAGCTCAAAATCCGCCCCATCACCCAAGGTTTGAAATTAATTGCTTTGGGATCTATGCCAATCGAGAGGAAAATGCAAACACTGCCTATTCACGTTTAGAGACCAAGCATTGGTGTAATTTGGTTTAAAAAGGCTGTTTGTACTTCTGATTACGTTGAAATATGTACCGTGGGGGAGGACTTTATAGCAGGATCGGAATTTCAATCACCCTCAATAGGCATAATTTGGCCCTTTATTCCTTTCCCACTCAGCCTATTTTCCAAGTACCTGGCCTAAAACACTCTCTGCTCCGGAACTACATCACATACGTAGTTTTTGCAGTAAGCACCTGGGTTTAGGGAAGCATTTTGAGCCATTTATACAACTAAACAACAAAAACAACCTTTGAGCCATTTATGTAACTAAAAGAGCATGATTTAGACGGACCCGATGGATCTGCGCGCTGAGCGTATAAGGGTTAAGTCGATTATTACGATATTCTTTCGAACTAATGAAGTAAGGCCTGGGCCTGACTCGGAGACAGTTCGTCGGTTAGGTCTGGCCTAACGTTAGTGAATTCCGTAGATGGGGGGGGGGGGTTGAGGTTAAAGTTGAGGTTAAGGGGGAGTTGCGAAAAAAGAAAGACTTTGAAAAATGGTTCTCACATTACTGCATGGAACATTTGTTGCGTGTGATCACTTGTTACCTGCAAGGCCACTTTGAGGACAGTGAAAATAGGGCATCGAGAATAAATTGGTTTGAGGATTCATCGTCCCGTTTGGAACTTGAACTTTCAATGTCTACGTATTCCACGTACAAGATGGAATTACTTTCATCATGGCAACTGCCTTTCTTTGTCATCCTGAAGCCATAACTCGCGGTCGTTAAGTCTATTTCTAGGTTCAGAAAGTACTCGGTTTATATTCGCTGAGGAACTTTCACGAATAGGGAACATTTCGTACAAGCAAGGACTTTTTCCTCGTTGTGGCGCCTTATCCTCCTTGGTTTGACTTTCGGAGTACAGCATGAACAAGTCAGTCATTCCAGGGGGCCGTGTCATCGATTTGCAAGGTAAGGGCGACTCGATCCAGGTTTCAATCCGAATCGAGCGCACGTTCTTTCTTCTTCACCCCCATGCAAAGATCCTGCTATTTATTTTTCACATCGGCGATGTCTCTTTTAGTTCCTCTCACTCTTCCGACTTCATGGGCAACAGCGCTCCAAGCATCGTGTTTCTTCTTAGAGCTTATCGTTGCCGTTAATTTTCCGCGAATGATTGGTTTCTTATCCAGCATGGATGAGGCGACAGCATCCACATCTAAGCTGAAGCGGGGCTTCTTCTGTCTGAGACATCCTGGAGAATAACAAGCAAAGAGTTGGAAATGGGACTGCTAGATGGGCCAGCGTAGATTAAAACCACCTTGTTCATTGAACGGGTTGTGGCTCCCTCCACAACTATAACCGAGGTTTTGGACCTTATAGCAGTCAGTTTGACAAGTCGCTTCGTTAGAGGTCATAAAATATGAGCTAGCTGGCAACCCCTTCCATATCTCACTCCAGAAAAAGAAAAGGTATGGTTGTCACAATCCAAGGCCGCTTTATTAACAATTACAACAAACGCTTGACTGTGTATATAGGGTGGTTAAAAAAAAACGCTCAACTGTTTTCTATGGGAGAAACACAGTTTCATTAATGCAACAAAAAATTGCATTGGATACGCGATCGATATTTGACAGTTACAAGGTGTAGAAACGATTCTTTTTTTTCAGCACCCCTGCTTAAGTCGTGGAATCCCCATTTAAAGGTGAAGTAAAGACTGCCTTGAGGTGGACCATTCCACCCCAAGTGAGGGGATTACTTGTGCTCGACTGTCTCAGAATTCAATGAATTTTTTTACTTTAACTTTTCAAGGGACAGTTGATACGTGACAGAGAAGTTCGTGAGTCTAAGAGGTTTTTTTCACTTCCGCAAAATAGCGCTCTATCCCGATAGAGGGCGCTGTTGTTGACCGGGTGACCAAGGGTCATTAAAAAAAGTTCCGCCGTTTCCAAAGGGGAAAAAAACGCTTCGTGTATTCGAGTAAAAAATGTGAGATTCATAAACCTATGATGTAGGACATATAGGAGGTATTTAAAAGATTGGCTTTTTTTTCTCTGAACGAACTCTCAGCGATATATTGTCCTGTTACACAGTTAACCGGTGGAGCATTTCACTTTATTTTTCAACTCACACAATTCATCGGGACACAGCGCCATCTTGCGGAAGTGAAAAAAACCTCTTAGACTCATGAACTCATCTGTCAAGTATCAGCTGTATCCAACTGTCCCTTGAAAAGTTAAAGTTGAAAAATGCATTCAAGTCTGAGACGGCCAACACAAATAATCACCTAGCTTGGGGTGGAATGATCCGCTTCTCTAAGCACCCTTCATACAATTTTAGTGTTTTATCACTATGGTTTTTGCATGTAGGTTTTTGGAAGGCAGTATGTTATTATACTTTTTTAAATTATTTTTTCAATATCTAAGGGAATACAAATTCATCTTGAATTTTTATATTCCATACCCAAAAGGATCAAGTTAATATGCAATTGAATTGTGGAAATAATTGTTACGCATGAACACATTTCCAATGCGTTTTTAAAGTGGATTAAATGAAAACCAGATGAATCAGACATGAGAGAGATTCGACTCATAATTTTTTGCGGTTTTGCCCTCATGCTGTCAATATGATAATCCTTTTGCTTGGTTTTTTTCATGAAATCCACAGGAAAACAAGTATGTTAACATGATTCCAGTCTCCTAATCACACGATGGAATCTGATGGGCATGCTGGATAGACATATTTACTTTTCCCATGCTCATGTCTCTCCACATTCTTCATAAACAGATGATGTTCAGAGGAAGACGCTAGGAAGAATACATGCTTCAAGTGAGTCAGGCAAGGGATACTCATTCCACCTCCATGGAAAATTTCCCCCATCGGCCTCCAAAACCTCCATTGTCTTTAAGGGTTTTCCATTACTTCCTTTCCCGCCGATAGCCATGACCTGATCCAGAGTGTCTCTTCCAAGACCAAGACTTCTTCTGGGTGAGTGTAGGCGAGGAATGTAGGAGGATGAAGAAGAGGATGAGTCCCATTTTAAATTGTTTAAATCTAGCACACTTGTCTGATTGGAAGAAGTAGCCTGGTCCGGAGATCCACCCACCAGTAGGAGTTGTCTTCCGCTCAATACTGTCGCCGCTGCTTCGCATATCGGCTCCGGGATATCTGGGAGGGTCGAGTATCTTTTACCCACACGGACGTCGTACAGACACACAGACTTTACTACCCTGTTTCGTTTCCCACAATGTTCTCCGCCGAGGAGGAAAATAGTTCCGTTTTCCAGAGATGTCCCAGCTACCTTGGTTAACTTCAGCCCGAATGGAGGAAGAGGGAACCATTTCTCGCAAGACGGAATAAAAGCTCCGGCATTCGATTGCGACCACTCTCCATCGTTTTGAAATTCCCCGAAGAGATAGAATCCTTTTGATGACCCACGACAAGGAGTGAGGCAAGTGAGGCGAGAAACGGAGAATGGTGCGCGGGAACGGAGAGACGGAATATACTGCATAAGGGATGCCTGTTTTCGTCTTCGTTGAAGTTGCTTTGGGTTATCTGTTTCCACCATGAAAGTCTTCCGCCCTTTGAAGACGAATACCCGATTGTGTATACCTCCCCAAGTCACATTCTTAAGTTTCTCATACTTCCCGTTCTTTTCGTCTATAATAGAAGGAAACATCGCCTTGTAGACGGGCTTGAGGCTTGTAGAAGGGCTGAAGACTCCAATTCCACCCCATCCATCCTTTGCTTTCACCTCGGCTACCATGCCTGCTTGAGAATGGAGACATGTGTGAATATAATCGTTAAAACCAGAGTGCCAAAAATTTCGGATAATGAGCGTTTTACTAATCCAAGTTCATTCAGGACATGCGCGTAGGATAAACAGGCAAAAAAAGCGCATTCTCGGCATAGTTATGAAGGAAAGAAAAGTCTTATTTCGAAAATTAAAAAGAATATTAAAGGAATATTTCTTACTTGACCCAATGGAGTCAGTGCTGCTTCCCCACTTCTGCTCCTAAAAAAAAATTATTGTACTGTACACTCCGTCCCAAAATAGTTAGAACCTTTTCCAATTTGTTGCTTCTGTTAATTGGTTCAGACTATCGCTGAGCTTTTGAAGGCTGACTAACAGCACGCAGTTGTATCAATATCCATTGCTCCATTTTGGAGATGCAGCAGCTTATTCTAAGTAAGATTGCGTCGGACCATTGCCACAGGACGCTCTCGGTGCGAGCACAGTCAGCCAGCGAGGAAACTCACTGTTCCCTCGTCGCAGGAGAAGGCGAACCGTGCAGCTTTTGGGTTTCAATCAATGTCACATGCCTGTTTACAGAATGACACGGCAGGCACTTGGAGCACCTCATCCGAGTGTCAAGCATTAAAGATTAATATTGGATGTGCGCATCATGTCACCCTTTCTTTATGAGGCGCACTTTTGAATTTGGACTAATGCGCCAGTACAGTTCTAGCTGCACTCCCTTACTGCAGGACGCGCTCTTAATCACCTCATGTATTTCAAGGGCCAGAGAATGAAAATTGTTACAACTTTGCATGCGTATGCTCATTTGACGCCTTAGTCAGGCCATGAGGGCGCACAGCAAGCGCACCCATTACGAGTGGATAAAAATTGAAAAAGGTTCCAAAATTGTTTGGGACAGAGTGTAGTATGGTATATTTTTCCTACTCTCACTTCATATTTCCTCGCATAAATATTCATCATCTCACGATATCACATACCAAGCGAAATCACTGCGTGTGAGGAATATGGACCATCAGGTGGGATCGAACCCGGGTAGATAAAGTTGTAGGCGACTGTTTTACTGAGAAATGGAGCTTCTCTACGCATAACAGTAATATAGGGTGTTCCTAAATTATCTTTTCTATTTTGAACGTAAAAAAAACTAAGAATACAAAAATGCAATTTCTACCATATTGTAGTACTAATCAAAGAGTTTTTGTTGACGTGCCAGTAGACTATCAAGTGTGGAAGTCTAATGACATGTCAATAAAAAATGCCACAGTGCCAAGTTGGTGCAGGCATTGCAGCTAACTGACAGACCACCTCTGAGGTCTGTCATTCCGATGCAGTGCCTGTATCAACTGCAGTTTGTAGACACACCGATGAAGCCGTTTGTAAATGTTACGGTGCAGGGTTGTTGTTGGTAAGTTGGGTTTTGCGTGAAGCGTGCCGAAGCGATTTTCGTGGGCTGCTCTGAAACGATTCGCGCACTTCTTCGACACGCTCATCACTGACAGAGGGCCGTCCACCTCCCTGTCGTTGAAGCACGCTGCCTGTCTCCAAGAACTTCCTCAACCCCTTCCGGATAGTTGGTTTCAACGGTGGTTCCATCCCATACTGCCGTCTGTAATGATGCTGCACCATGGTCACTGACTTGGTCTCTGCAAGCCACACAATGCCCTTAGCCTTCTCTTGCACGATCGTTATTTTTAATTTTTCGTGGTTATTCACTGGGGTGCCACGTGGAAGAAAATACTTTTCTATAAAATATTTTTGAGATGTACTAAAGAAGGTGCAAAATGCATATTTGTATGTCTATTAATTTTTTAAGTATTTCCTTTCAAAATAGGAAAGATAATTTAGGAACACCCTGTACAGTATACTGTCCATTCATTGCCCTGCGCACGAGCTAATTGACTATTGTTTACCTAATTGATAAAGGGTTCGCGGCGAGGTTTCTTTGGGTGTTCCAACATCTATGACTTCAATACTATTCATGATAAAGCAATATTTGGTGAACACACCTTTGATACCATTGGGAACAAGATTCCATTGTCAATGGCAATGGCCATCAGGGGACTCCTTTGATCCTTAAAGTGCATACTGGGTGTACAGAAATTTCTGACCCGCTAAAATAAAGTTCGAGTAATGTTGCACCCCCGCCGATTGGTTGGAAAGTCAAAACACTGTTGACGAGTTGTTTTCGTGATCATAGCAGACATTTCCCTTAATCATGGTCCCCACAGTCTTTAGATCTTACTCTACTTGATTTCTGGCTTCAGGGGTACCTCATGTCAGTTGTGTATCGTGAAGTGCTTGTTACATTAATTGATTTGAAAGATCGCATCCATTATCATATGCAGTAGGCTTGTTGAACATTGGACAACTTAATTTAGTGTCTATCATGCTATCCCGTGAATGCAATGACTGGACATGAATTGTAGTCACATTGAGCAGATGTAGCCTCTCTGATATCCATTGCCATTGACAACGGAAAAGTGTTCGCCATGACCTCAAAGGCGGGTCCATCAAATATTATTGCTCTATGATGAATATTATGCAAGCTACAATTGTTTACACACGCCAGTAACCCTGAACCCTGAACCCTGAACGTATGTATACATATGAAAACATTCGAAAATGAGATATGTAACTCAGTAGAGCAAGCATTGAACCCGAAAACATAATTGAAAGAAGACAGTAGCTCAAAGGGAAGTGATAGCGAAATGAGCCTTTGGGTGTCAAAAGTTCAACAGGATTATCATCATGAGCACGGTCCTGCTGAAGGCTTCAGCAGGACCTTCAGAAGAAATATATATTTTTTTAAATTCCAGATTGAGAGAAGAATAGAAGTGGAAAGAGTACGGTTTGACAGGTGATTATACCCAGAGCTTAAGTGGATCTCGCAACCACCACAAAGGCACGTTCCATGATCTTACGGTGGTTGTGAGATGGACTTAAGGTAGTGGGCTAATATAGGAGTGTGCAGCTCAAGACCAGTCACGCTCTGTACAAGGCTTGGGAGTTGTGACAGAAGGTTGACTCGGTTTACCTTTTGTCAGCTGACACTTATCTTTAAACTCTTTCCATTGTAGCCATTTACTTCGAAAATGAGCTATATCTTGATTGGAGCGTTATTATTTTTCAAAATGTTCTAGTTGCAGTCTAAAATCTATCAGAAGGACGGAAAATGCTTCACTAGCGCCGCACTCACCATTTCATTCTTTCCAGACTCACGGGGAACCCTCTGATTGTATGATTCTGGGCGATTTGAAGGTGCGCATGTAGGAAGTTTCCTCTGCATCTAAAGGAATATTTAAAGAATAGAAAACCTCGACTCATGCATGAAGAAAGGTGACAAGATTCTTTTACACCTTGATACTTCTTCAATGAAATTATGCATAATGGGTCACAATGAAAGACATGGGTCGCATCAATTTAATTCGTCACGAAAAATATAACGATACAAATATTCTGATCTTTGAAAACTCTCCGAGTTAAACCATGAAAACACGGAACCATTGACGTTTGAATATGTCATAGCAAATTTTGAAATTCCCCATTAAATGGATCAATGGACTTCAAATTGTCAAGTGATCGAGTGACGTGGTTACTTAAAAAGGTATCAGAAATGTTCTGGATGTAATGGTAGAGTGATTTGTGAGGGTTCGGAACGATCCAGGAGCCAGACAATCGAGCCACAGAATCGCCACCAAGCACTGATGAAGGGAATCCTGTGGACATAGTCTATTTAGATTTCGCGAAAGCTTTCGATACCGTTCCTCACAAGAGGTTGCGGTCATGTACCATTAGATCGGACCGGGACGAACGCGTGGACCTCGTTTCGGCTCCAAACCGGTTTTTCGAAGTCTCGAAGCACGTGCTATCCTGAGACTGTTAACATTTGTATCCCATACGCGTGGATGAACGAGAGGCACGTGGTAGAGAAGACTCGAACCCGCTCACACGGGAAAGGATGACGTTAGGGAAGGGAAGGTGCTTCCTCGGGAGCAGGAGCAGATGTTCCGAAGCAACACCGTCGTATTCCCATGACCATAGTTATTTTCAGCTCTTCATCGAACGGTTGGGGGCGGGAGGAAGCCCTCCCTCTCACAGGCAGGTAATGAGCCTCAATGGATTCCTCGCAATTGCGTGACCTGCGCTTTCGTCGCGGCCTAAATGGTGGCGGACAGTTCGTTGTGGACGAAAACGTCGTAAGCCCGTTTCGTCGTTGCACTATTTCGTTGCAGACACAGATCGTCGTACATTCACGGCGAGGTACTAGCTTGCAGACAAGAGTAAAAGCAAGGTGGAAAAATTCACGAGAAGGGATGCGGTACTGGAATTACTGACTGCGGACCAATTTCGGAATAGAGGGGACTTGCGCGGACCCCCTTCACTATCGTGTAAACTTGTAATAAGTGCAGGTAATTTTGAAGAAAAGATAGTAAAAGTTAGCTGAGGGCTTGACAGCCCTTACTGATTTCCCCCCCCCCCTCCCCCCCCCTATTTTGTCCGTTATTGATTTTTGGCCAGGACATGGTTTTTCGGACCACCTGAAGCTTCGCCACGTACCCCTACGAGTCCGCGAACCCTCGATTGAGAGACGTTCATCTACAGAGATGGAAAATGCACCAGGAAGGGTAACTTTTCACTGTAGAGACTATGAGATAGCATACCTATGTGACCTATCGAGCCGTAAAGGTAGTATGGTGTGGCATGCACGAAAGAGCGGCTCATGATGTTGATTTGATGTTGATGTTGATTTATGATGCTAGGGAGGCTTTGAGTCGCTGTAGAAGCCCGATGGCTAGGGATGGAGTACATTTTTCGAAAGAGGGAGCTGTAGCAGTCGGATTGGCTATCATGAAGGAAAATGAGCCTTTTTTATGGTTGTAGATGGAGGGGCAAGGGATCACAAGCAAGAGACAGCCACTACGAGCAGATTTAGACCGCCGCGTGCTGGTGTGCAGGAAAGGCAGGGAAGAGTCAAGTGTTTCTATGCGAATGCACGCAGCTTACGTAATAAAATAGACGAGCTCAGGGGGCGGGCACTGGAAAACGGTTTCGATGTCATCGGAATAATCGAGACTTGGGGAGATTCTCACATTTCGGATAAGGAATTCGAGATCAAAGGGTACGACATCTTGCGGAAGGATAGGCTCGGCAGAAAAGGGGAGGAGTCGTGTTGTACGCCAAAACCGTACTGGGTGTTCGCGTCAGAGAAGATCTCACCTCGGATAACTGTGGAGCAATCGAACACTTATGGTGCGATATCTGTGGTGCAACTGGGAAGATCGTGATAGGAATTTGTTATAGGCGCCCTAACTCTTCTCACGAGGATGAAACAGCATATTTTGCACTCATGCGTAGGATCGGCGAGATCTCGAAGCAGGTATTGCTCTTCTGAGACTTTAACATGCCAAAAATAGATTGGTCGGTGCCGCAAAGGGGGTGCGTAAGGGATATGGAATTTCTCGTTGCCGTTCCGGACGCTCTTCTCGTTCGGTACGTAAACGAACCGACTCGCTAAGAAGCTTTATTGGATTGGATTTAGGATTCTAGGTTACATTCGTCGGTCGGTTGCAAGTGGGGCATCTCATGAACCAACAGCATTCCAACACCAATTTATTCAGGAATGTTAAGTGAATCAGCTAATATTGCCAGTGGTATATCAATATAAAAAGTATTTGAATAATACAGCCTGGCGTCAAAATGTAATACTACGGGTCCGGGCTGCTGGGCATGAGTTTGTAAAATGTAATATTACGGTTCCTGGGCTCAATATGTTGGTGTTAATCATCTATGGTGTTAATCTTCTATACAAATATAAGCCTTAGTCTTTGTGTTTCTGAATTAATCCCCATTTTTTTCCTTTTTTCCCTTTCACTTGCTATGGTACACCCATTTCATTATAAATTATGGATGTAAGGTACTTCCGTGTATACACACCAGCAAGTTATGTGTTATACTCATATGATCAACCCCAAGAGGTTGGATTTCATCATCTTCTTCGTGAAAAATTTATACATTTGGAGTCCTGGGAAGAGGTCTGCAAACATTATATGGTATGAAAGCAAGGATGTGTCAGGCCTACTAGTTTTTGCTTTTAACTTGTATGATGTGTTTCTTGTGTACTTGATGTTATTTGCTTTTTTGAATATTAATTGAAAAATATTTTTGATAAATCCAATGTACTTTCTCGAATTGGTCTAGATTCCAAGTGTATCCATAAGGAAAGGGAGAGAAAAATATACCTCTCATTTTACTTAATACCAACTGCAATAGTCACTGTGAGAAAATGAAGCTAATGTAGGTCTCTAATTCTGACTTTTTAATGCTTCCAAGAAGACCAATACTGGTTATTTCACTCTGACAACCCTTCTAGATGGCCTCATGAGACTAGAGTGTCACTGATGACTGGTAATACCTAGTAATGAAATGTGATGGGTGAATTAGAAGCAAAGCTTAAAAGTTTTATTTATTTATTTTTCAATGAATACATTTGTTTTGGGTACTCCAATTTAGTGCCTATTTTGCCAGTGGAATATTTGAATATATACAAGATGGAGCACTAACAGGAGGAAAAATATATTTCAGACATCATTAAGGAAAGAACAGATCAGCAGAAGTTCTTAAGTATT